CAGGAGTTGGAGGTTGCTGTGAGCAGTGAAGCCATGGCACTCTACCCAGGGGGACAGCCTGAGGCTCCGTCTCAAAAAAAAAAAAAAAACCAGGTTTCATAGCCTCAGAGAATCTGTCTCACAGTGGTGTTCCTGGCGGCTTGTGGCAGGGTCTTGCTGAGTGTCATTGGTTGTGTGTTTTTGTGTGCTTCCATGAGAATGTCAGAGCTGGATTCGAGCAACAAACATTTAAGTTTCTTGTTAAACTTGACAAAAGTGGAAGTGAAATCAGTAACTGGTGTGTTAGTCCAAGTTCATGGGCTTAATAATGCCATGAAGAAAACGGCAGAGTACAAATGGATTAAACATCCCGAGGGGAAAGATAGCATCACTGATGAAGAGAGGTCAGGCAGCCAGTAACAAGCAGAACAGAGAAAACATTGCATAAATTTGTCAAATTGTGCGTCAGAATCGTCAGCTGACTAAAAAGCATAACAGGCCAAGTAAACATTGATACGGAAACAGGGAACTCTTGGCCAACAACTCATGGCTCTTGCATCACAACATTGCACCAGCTCACACAGCATTGTCTGAGTTTTTAGCCAGTAAACAGATAACTGTGTTGGAACACCCTCTCACTCGCCTGACCTGGCTTTTGATGACATTCAGGATGTTACTGGCAATATAGTGACAGCTCTGCTGGCCGTTTGAGAACAAGTTCCACCTCACTTTGGAGGGTAGACTAGGTGCTGCCGTTTGTGCACGGGACCTGAGGGAAGCACTCAGAGGTGACCGTGACAATCTTCATCAGTGAGGTGTGTGGTACTTTTTCTAGGATGGGCTTCGAGAACCTAATTGTCAGACCTCAAGCGCTGCCGTCCTAGTAAAGACTCCCTGGCAGTGGTGACAGTGACAGCAGTGTTGTTTCTGTAGCCCCAGGGTGGGCAGCCCCCTGGGAGCCTGGTGTGTGTGGTCGGCTTCCTGTAGCCTCTCTCTCACACCTCGCTGCCTGGGTCATTTTCTGTCATGTCTCATCTGACTGAATGTAGACCAGTTAACAACCCATTGGCACTGTGGTCCCTCACCTCACTGCCTGGGTTATCTCGTGCCATGTCTCACCGGACTGAGTGTAGACCAGTTAATAGTCCGCCGGCCCAGATGTAGACCAGTTAACATCCGCCGGCCCGAGTGTAGACCACTTAACATCCGCCGGCCCGGGTGTAGACCAGTTAACAGTCCGCCAGCCCAATGTAGACCAGTTAACATCCGCCGGCCCGGGTGTAAACCACTTAACAGTCCACCGGCCCAGGTGTAGACCACTTAACAGTCCGCCGGCCCGGGTATAGACCACTTAACAGTCGGCCCGTCTGTTCCTTAACCATGCGCCTGCAGACATCGTGGACATCAAGCCGGCCAACATGGAGGAGCTGACGGAGGTCATCACGGCAGCCGAGTTCCACCCACTGCAGTGCAACGTGCTGGTCTACAGCAGCAGCAAGGGCACCGTGCGGCTGTGTGACATGCGCTCCTCAGCCCTGTGCGACAGACACTCCAAGTGTAAGTGCCGGGCCTTGCAGAGGCCTCCTGTAGATCCTGCTGTGTTTCAGACCCTGTCCCGTCTCCAGAGACACTGCCCATGCCTGTGCGAGTGGGGAGAGCCTACCCTTGCTAGCTGCGTGCGAACATGGCTAGTGCCAATGAGTAGACCTCAGGGACCTGCTGGCCCAGGTGGCACGGGGCATCGCACTTTTGCCCAGAGCCCCCTCCTCCTCCTCCTGGCACTGCAGCCAACCAGGAATGGGTCTCTGCCTCTGACTTTGTGTGTTGGGACCTGGGCCCGGCCTGCTAGCACACCTTTCACCTGTGACTGGTAGCAGCTCCTAGAATGAGCTCTGCTAGACTAGAAGCAGCTCCCTGGGTGGGGAGCCCAGCAATTTAGTCTACTGAGTTTTGAAGTTCCTTCTAGATGGGGACAGTTTGGGCTTTATTTGTATTTGTAGACATAAAGAACAGGTTCTACTAACAGGACACTTGTCCTGGAGATGTTACTGGCCCTCCCCTGCTGACAGGTGGACCTGTGCCCTGAGGAGGACATCACTGGCAGCACCTATGGATGTGCCCTGGCACTGGCAGAGCCTGGGCTCAGTATACCGCTGCTGGTGCCCAGTTCCTTTCCTGTGACTAGGTGTCCTTTAAGAATTCTGTACTTTGGGCTCGGCGCCTATAGCTCGACCGGCTAAGGCGCCAGCCACGTACACCTAAGGTGGCAGGTTCGAATCCCCAGCCCGGACCCGCCAAACAACAA